TCTGGGGTGAGTCTGGGGTATGGGACTGGGGTGAGTCTGCGGTGAGTGTGGAGTGTGGTTCTGGGGTGAGCCTGGAGTGTGGGTCTGGGGTGAGTCTGGAGTGTGGGTCTGCGGTGAGTCTGGAGTGTGGGTCTGGGGTGAGTCTGGAGTGTGAGTCAGGTATGAGTCTGGGGTGAGTCTGGAGTGTGGGTCTGGGGTGAGTCTGGGGTGTGGGACTGGGGTGAGTCTGCTGTGAGTCTGGGTTGAGTGTGGAGTGTGGGTCAGGGGTGAGTCTGGGGTGGGTCTGGGGTAAGTCTGGGGTGAGTCTGAAGTGTGGGTCAGGGGGTGAGTCTGGGGTGTGGGTCTGATGTGGGTCTGGAGTGTGGGTCCAGGGTGAGTCTGGAGTGCGGGTCTGGGGTGAGTCTGGAGTGCCACAGTTCAGGGGAGCCAGGTGGCAGCGGGAAGGATCGTGAGTGTAGCCCCACAGGCACACGAGGCCTGGGACTGCACAATGTGAGGCGGCCTCCTGGCCTGAGAAGGAAGCCTTGTGCTGGGTTTAACGTGGCCAGGGCTGAGGCCTATCTTGCCCCAAGTAGGAGCCATGCTTCTGTGGGTGGGATTTAAGCCGTGGAAAGCGAGAAGACCCCTGGTTAGAAAAAAGCAGCAAGGAGGCTGGCTGAGGAGCCATTTCAGGGAGCACCGTGGGAAGGAGGCCTGTAAGGCTGGGCACACAGCCAGGTGTGGGGAGGCTGGGCCCGGGGCAGGGCCATGGGGCTTGGGCTTCTCACACAAGTTCTGCCCGATTCTCAAGTGCTGTCGTCTTAATCAACAGAGAACATGGACGCCACCCCAACTCAAGTCAGGTGAGGCTGTGCTCTCACAGTGGGATCTGGACGGGGCAAAGGGTGACCAGCTCAAGTACTGGTCGGGGAGGGACCCCACAGCGGTGGATGACTGCCCAGTGGTGGAGGGGCGCCCCAGCTAACCCTGCCGAAAGGTGCAGATGAGCCTGTGAAGGCAGCTAAGGGCGGGGGCAGCACCTCCTGGTGTCTGCTCAGCTGTACCAGTGGAGGGCAAGGGTGCCACGCGTTTCTATGGCTGAACAGGGTGCCACAGAAAACACAGAAAATGCACCCCGCCTGAGATAAAGGCAAAGCTCTCACAAGGCAGCGATGGGGACCCACCAGCATGAAAGCAGGGGTGCAGGTATCAGGCGGGAATATCCTCTGCACACTTTCCTAAGCAGGATGTGTGGAAACGGCCACAGGGAAATGAGAAGAACCTGGAGAGCCACTGAGACAGACTTACTTCCTTCGGAAGGTGAAGTCTGAGGCGTATTCCCCAAAGGGTCAGGCCTCTCTCAGCTGGGGCGGAGGCGTTCACCACCGTGCAGACACACACGCAGGGGGATGTGCACACGCGCGCGCGCACACACACACACACACACACGTGGTGGCAGGAGGGGCACATACAGGCATGCCGGGGACATGCTGCAGGGCGGTAGGCCGTTGGCCCAGGCCTGCTGGGGCACTGTGCCCATACCCAGCAGGCGCCCACCTCAATGCCGCTCTGGCGCGCCAGCTTGACAGCCGTGTTGTAGTAGCCGCAGCGCAGCAGGTGCTCCACCATCATGCGGTCCATGCGCTTCCTCTTCCACACGCTGGCCGCCGCGGGCTGGTCGCTGCTGTGCTCTTTGAGGTGCTCGATCCGGCGCTTGCACAGCTTGGCACTCTCATCTTCGGCCTGGATGGACTCCACCGCCTGAGCCACACACAACAGAGACCCATTCAGGACAGGGACGCCCCAAAGCCCTGCGCCAAGGGAGGCCAGGTTGCCCCAGTCTATGACACTCACGAGGAGAAAAGTGGAGATGGCGGGACAGAAATACAAGGACCATGATCTACTGAGGTCCGCTAGGTAGGTGTGCTGGCCCAGGAGAGGACAGAGGCCCATGAAAATCCGCCACCCTGGACCTGGAGTTTCTCTGTTATTTCTGGCTTTATGTTAATATATCCTGAAGCCATGTTGCCGCTTACTCTGTGTGGGATTCTGACCTGGTAGCACTCATCAGTTCTGAAACCTTGGTTGCTCTCCCTGCGCCATCTCTGGCCCCACCCACTGGTGGGCTCTGGTCAAACATACCACAGCTTTCTGCTCTATTCTGTGCTTTATTCTCACGGGCACTTTCATTTTTCCATCTCTGTGCTCCGTTCTAGGTCATTACTTCAGTTCACTGATTCTCTCTTTAGCTTTGTCTAACTGTTAACTGTTAAACTATTACAGGCAAATGTTGAGTTTTTCATTTTGGTTACATTTCCCATTTCTTGAAGTTTTAATTCCTTTTAAACTCTAAATCACTTTTTATTTTGGAGACAGTCTCCGTGCAGGCTGGACTGCAGTGATGAGATCTCAGGTCACTGAAAACTCTCACTCCCAGGTTCAAGCAATTCTCCCACCTCAGCCTCTCAAGTGCCTGGGACCACAGGTACATACCATGCCTAGCTAATATTTTTGTAATTTTACTAGAGACAGGGTTTCGCCATGTTGGCCAGGCTGGTCTGGAGCTCCTAATCTCAGGTGACCCGTCTGCTTTGGTCTCCAAGTGCTGGGATTACAGGTCCAAGCCACTGTGCCAGGCCAATCACATTTTTTTTTTTTTTAAAGACAGCGTCTCATTCCACTGCCCAGGATGGAATGTAGTGACACAATCCCCACTCACTACAGACTTGAACTCCTGGGCTCATGCGATTCTCCTGTCTGAGCCTCCCAAGTAGCTGAGACTACAGGTGTGCACCACCACACCTGGCTAATATTTTTTGTAGAGATAAGGTTTCGCCATGTTGCCCAGACTGGTCTCAAACTCCTGGGCTCAAGTAATTCTGCTGCCTCAGCTTTCCACAGTACTTCACAGGCGTGACCCACCAGCCTGTTTGTATTCTTTAAGCACAGTAAAGTGTGGCACCTGGCAGTCCCCACGCCTTCAGTCTGTGCAGCTCTGAGTAAAGTGTGGCACCTGGCAGTCCCCACG